CAAAAATGGTAGAAATTGGCCTGGCGGTTTAAAATAGGTTAATTTCATTAAAAACGTTATCGACATAGTTTTGTAAACAAATAACTATGATATGTTGGGCTGTCAGAAAAGTTAGGAGCAGGGCAGATACGGTACACAAGTTAGGAGCAGGGCAGATACGGTGCACAAGTTAGGAGCAGGGCAGACACGGGGCACAAGTTAGGAGCAGGGCAGATACTTTACGGGGCACAAGTTAGGAGCAGGGCAGATACCTTACGGTGCACAAGTTAGGAGCAGGGCAGACACGGTGCACAAGTTAGGAGCAGGGCAGATACTTTACGGTGCACAAGTTAGGAGCAGGGCAGACACGGTGCACTAGCTAGGAGCAGGGCAGACACGGTGCACAAGTTAGGAGCAGGGCAGACACGGTGCACTAGCTAGGAGCAGGGCAGATAAGGTGCACAAATACTAAAAACAATTGTAAAACCATGTTACTCAAATATCCTGTCTAGATTGTTTTCTTGGCCTCAGATTAAGAGCAAATTATCCCCCCCCCCCCCCCCCCCCACACACACACAATTACCCCACATGGTGCTAAGTAGATCACTAGCTTGCGGGAAAATTAGTACTAATGAGAGCGAGGGTAGTAGGATAAAAAGGAAGGGTAATAGACGACAATTCCTCTTATGAAGCGTAGTTGGTATTTAATTTTGTCAAACAATTGCTAATTTACACTGTCGTAATAAGCTTCAACAGGGAGATTAGCGGGCCAATTTCTAAAACATGTATGTTGACCAGAGTTATCTGTTGAAACAGGAAAGTTGTTGAGATTAAGCTGTTTCCGTTCAATCGATTTACAAATATTTACTAGGAAGTTTAATTATTTTATTGCCTAATATAAATAGGCATGTTGCATTGTCGTATTGTTCTTTATTTATTTTTTATTTTTTATTTGAGGTTTTTTTTTTCTTTCAACATAAAGCAATATTACTCGATCAGATTTTTCATTGCTAAAATAGACTATCTATGTGAAAGTACCGTCTCTGAAAATGATACAGTAAAATACAATAAAGCTTTATTTTTGCAAACTACAGTAAACTCCCCTGGTTATGTACATTGGCAAAGTTGTCTAGATCACGTTCGTCACGTTCAAATGGTAGATAACCCATGATTGTTTAGTTGGTTTAACAAGACTTACAGAGTTACCTAGCCTTAGCTGCTGTTAATTCTGTGATGAAGTTGCTAAAATTTCTTGTGTTTGGCTATGTATTCTACACACAGTTTACAATTGTTTTGGGTAAGTTAAACAACTGTACGGCCTTTGTAGCACATTCACAGTAGACATGCGAGCATCGTGTAACATTTAGTTATAGCCTTAGAAATAATATTTACTTTATGTGTTAGTATTCTTGATAAAAAGGATGTGTTAGCACCTATAATAGTAATGCATGTATTCTGTATTTATTATAAAACCTTAAATATGTGTTATCTTCGAATTAAAATTAAATACAAGTTGATAACATATGACTTTACATAGCTATTTGACAATACATAGTTGTATTAGCTACGCACTGACTATTTGACTTAACATAGCTGTATTAGCTACGCACAGACTATTTGACTTTACATAGCTGTATCAACTATTCACAAACTACTTGACTTTACATAGCTATATCAACTATTCACAGACTACTTGACTTTACATAGCTGCATCAACTATTCACAGACTACTTTGACTTTACATAGCTGCATCAACTATTCACAAACTACTTGACTTTACATAGCTGCATCAACTAAGCACAGACTACTTGGCTTTACATGACTGCATCACCTACTCACGCACCTGATAACTTTACATGACTCCATACTCACGGATTAATTTACCTTACCCTTATAGCCTCAGGTTGTGACATTGGCTGGTTTGGACCTAAGTGTGACTACAAATGTCACTGTACCGACGGTCATTGTACCACAGCTGGACTGTGTGCCAACAACGTCGACTGTGCCAGGGGATGGTTTGGTCCCTTATGTCAGTACCGTAAGTTTTTTGTCCAACAAAATTTTCAACTTCAATTAAACATCTAATTTCTTAATTAACTCTATTGACCATATGATATTAGCCGTACTAAGAGAAGTTTTAGCTCAGATAATTAAAACTGTATAGAGTATATTCACTTTCTCAAAGAGTTTGTAGATTGATGACCGTTAGAATAGGCTGAATCATGTTCCAGTAGTACCTGCAGTTTGTCTTGTGAACCATGAGAACAAAAATCTGGATAATTGCAGGACATGTTCTCAGTCTTGGTGGGCAGGGTTTTAATGTGGTGCTGTGTGGTAGAAGGGGGTGGTACTACAGGTGGTGTGTGTAAGGGTGGTACTACAGGTGGTGTGTGTTAGGGTGGTACTACAGGTGGTGGTGAGTGTTAGGGTGGTACTACAGGTGGTGTGTGTTAGGGTGGTACTACAGGTGGTGGTGAGTGTTAGGGTGGTACTACAGGTGGTAGTGGGTGTTAGGGTGGTACTACAGATGGTAGTGAGTGTTAGGGTGGTACTACAGGTGGTAGTGGGTGCTAGGGTGGTACTACAGATGGTAGTGGGTGTTAGGAGAGGGTGGTACTTCAGGTGGTAATGGGTGTTAGGGTGGTACTACAGGTGGTGCTGGGTGTTAGGAGAGGGTGGTACTTCAGGTGGTAATGGGTGTTAGGGTGGTACTATAGGTGGTAGCGGGTGTTGGCAGGGGTGGTACTACAGGTGGTAGTGGGTGTTGGGAGAGGGTAGTACTACAGGTGGTAGTCGGAGTTAGGGTGGTACTACAGGTGGTAGCGGGTGTTGGCAGGGGTGTAACTACAGGTGGTAGTGTTAGGAGAGGGTGGTACTTCAGCTGGTAATGTATGTTAGGAGGGATGGTACCACAGGTGGTTGTGTGTATTAGGAGAGGGTGGTACTAGTGGTGTTTGTGTTTCTAGAGGGTTGGACTACATAAGATAAAAACATATACTTTGGGAAAATTAAAACATTCGCAGAGGATCTTGGCAGCCTGGGAAACATCGCACCCACAATGTCAGGGGTCACATCGGTCAAGGTCACATCAGTCAGGGTCACGTGGGGGAGGCTATACCTGATCCAATGGCTAAGATTACAGTTCCAAGAAATTGGTGAGTTATGTACCTGTATTACAACAATAACTACTGTAAACCTTTTCAAAATTAACCTGGCTGATTTAATTACCGCCATGGCTAATGAGTTCCTGTGTCCACTTAGACCAGCCGGATGTGTTCACCCTGCAGACAGGTGCAGGCCCTGCGAGCTTAAACTGTACACAGCTGAAGGTTTATCTGATCGATAATCGAACGATCGATCTCGTCTGTGATACTCAGGTGCCGGTGGCGGAGGTCAAGGTCACCTGGACCCAGCCTAAACTGTTGAGAACCCTCCATGTCAGTGGTGGTGAGTTTATTTGAGAACCCTTCATGTCAGTGGTGGTGAGTTTATTTGAGAACCCTTCATGTCAGTGGTGGTGAGTTTATTTGAGAACCCTTCATGTCAGTGGTGGTGAGTTTATTTGAGAACCCTTCATGTCAGTGGTGGTGAGTTTATTTGAGAACCCTTCATGTCAGTGGTGGTGAGTTTATTTGAGAACCCTTCATGTCAGTGGTGGTGAGTTTATTTGAGAACCCTTCATGTCAGTGGTGGTGAGTTTATTTGAGAACCCTTCATATCAGTGGTGGTGAGTTTATTTGAGAACCCTTCATATCAGTGGTGGTGAGTTTATTTGAGAACCTTTCATGTCAGTGGTGGTGAGTTTATTTGAGAACCCTTCATATCAGTGTTGGTGAGTTTATTTGAGAACCCTTCATGTCAGTGGTGGTGAGTTTATTTGAGAATCCTTCATATCAGTGGTGGTGAGTTTATTTGAGAACCTTTCATATCAGTGGTGGTGAGTTTATTTGAGAACCCTTCATGTCAGTGGTGGTGAATTTATTTGAGAACCCTTCATATCAGTGGTGGTGAGTTTATTTGATAACCCTTCATATCAGTGGTGGTGAGTTTATTTGAGAACCCTTCATATCAGTGGTGGTGAGTTTATTTGAGAACCCTTCATGTCAGTGGTGGTGAATTTATTTGAGAACCCTTCATGTCAGTGGTGGTGCGTTTATTTGAGAATCCTTCATATCAGTGGTGGTGAGTTTATTTGAGAACCCTTCATATCAGTGGTGGTGAGTTTATTTGAGAACCCGTCATGTCAGTGGTGGTGAATTTATTTGAGAACCTTTCATAGCTGTGGTGGTGAGTTTATTTGAGAACCCTTTATATCTATGGTGGTGAGTTTATTTGAGAACCCTTCATGTCAGTGGTGGTGAGTTTATTTGAGAACCCTTCATGTCAGTGGTGGTGAGTTTATTTGAGAACCCTTCATGTCAGTGGTGGTGGGTTTATTTGAAAACCCTTCATGTCAGTGGTGGTGAGTTTATTTGAGAACCCTTTATATCTATGGTGGTGAGTTTATTTGAGAACCCTTCATGTCAGTGGTGGTGAGTTTATTTTTCTACCATATGTTGAAATACAATCAGTAAAGAAACAACAATTGTACCTTAGGATAACTTAAACAAAGGATATAGGCCTATAAAAATTGAATTAATTTCATACGCTAAATCACAACTAGCAAACGCTTTCAGAAGATCAACTTATCATTGATTTATATTGATAGAATTGTATCTGCCATTTTATATCTTACATAATGTAAATTTTCCCCTTTCGAACCTGGCGGTCCATGGGGCAGACGAATTAGAGTTCACCTGTTTTTGTAACCTCGGTATAGTGTAGTCAATGCTATGTCATTACTTCCCACGACCAAAGTCAGGTACCCATCAGAGCTGAATGAACTCAGGGACGTCCTACGTGCACCAGCACTGTTGTTTTGAGTAAACAACTCACCACGCCTTAACCTTGCCTACTGTAGCTGGATATAAACACGTGTTAACTCCCCTCCCCCCTGTCGAGCAGGTAGAAACGTGGCCTTGAAACAGACAGCTCAACTCACCAGCACGTACGACGACTACTCACTCGCCTCACGCGCGGTGGACGGTAACACCAACACTACCTACATGGGAAGCTCGTGCGTGCACACAAAGGAATCTGACAGTAACCCGGCCTTGACCCTGACCCTCTCACGGCCCTACCTGCTGACCAGGTACGAGGTGTACAACAGATACGACGGTGAGTGGAACTAGGTCATTGTGAAACTAGGTCATTGTGTGGTTAATAGGGGAACTGGTATACCATTGGTCATTGGGAAACTAGATCACTTATGGTCATGTTGAGATTAGGTCACTTATGGTCATGTTGATATTAGGTCGCTTATGGTCATTTTGGAAAACTAGCCCATTAGTGGTTATTTTCGGGCTGAAATAAATCTCTGTATAAAGTGAAATACAGCTGTATGTGATAAATGTGCTAATAGGTATAAACTTATCCAACAGACAAATGTTGTCCTGAGCGACTGAAAGGTTTTACCCTAAAGAGCTACAACGACCAGACTCTCGTCTACAACTACACCGATGTTGCCAGTGAAGCTTTGAGACAGTACACGATAGTCCCAAACAGGGGCGGTAACCCCGTCACTCGTGTCAACATAGCGGCCAACTACATCGAACCCAGTACTCGGAAAAAGATCTTGTCGTTGTGTGAACTGGAGATGTATGGGGGTAGGTCTTGCATTTTCTCATACAAGCTGTTTATTATAATGCTGGTTTTGATAAATTAAAAATCATACTGAAAAACTCCCAAAGGAAAACTGGTTTCTGTTTTTGTTTTGCTAAGATTTCTCTAAATGAAATCCCTCATAAAACCACAGTAGACTTGTATCTTCAAGTGTTTTTTCCAACTTTGTCCAGACTCCATTTGTATCTGAACGTCTTGTCCACCTTTGTCCAGACGCCATTTGTATCTGAACGTGTTGTCCACCTTTGTCCAGACTCCATTTGTATCTGAACGTGTTGTCCACCTTTGTCCAGACACCATTTGTATCTGAACGTGTTGTCCACCTTTGTCCAGACTCCATTTGTATCTGAACGTGTTGTCCACCTTTGTCCAGACTCCATTTGTATCTGAACGTGTTGTCCACCTTTGTCCAGACTCCATTTGTATCTGAACGTGTTGTCCACCTTTGTCCAGACACCATTTGTATCTGAACGTGTTGTCCACCTTTGTCCAGACTCCATTTGTATCTTCACGTGTTGTCCACCTTTGTCCAGACTCCATTTGTATCTGAACGTGTTGTCCACCTTTGTCCAGACTCCATTTGTATCTGAACGTGTTGTCCACCTTTGTCCAGACTCCATTTGTATCTGAACGTGTTGTCCACCTTTGTCCAGATTCCATTTGTATCTGAACGTGTTGTCCACCTTTGTCCAGACTCCATTTGTATCTGAACGTGTTGTCCACCTTTGTCCAGACTCCATTTGTATCTGAACGTGTTGTCCACCTTTGTCCAG